AGTCCAAGTCAGGAAAAGCTAGCCAGTGTTGGGGAACAGTGAGGTGGCGAGGAAGAAGGACCTTCTACAGATGGTCTTCCTAAATTCAGACCACCTCCATGCCTGCCTGCTCTGTTCCTGTCCATCAGGTTGCAGTGAGCTATCTCCAGCCTGGCAACAGAGCAAGACTCCATCAATCAATCCCTCCTCCTCATTCCCACCTGTAAACAGCTATCACCTCTCCAGGCCCTCCACGCAATCCCTCAAGTGTTTACTCAGCACCTTTACCAGGTCAGGCTCTGTCTTGTGAGTTATATAGCCTAGGCCACAAAGCCCAAGTGGGAACGCTACTCATAAGCCAACCAATGAGATAAAGCAGAGTATGTATATGGACATTGGGTTCAGCTCTCTCCTCCATGCAACAGGCATACAAGTGTCATCCCCCACCCCGCCCAAGCCCTCTCTCCAAGACACTGACAGCTCTTCTACGCCCCTCCTCCATGGATGAAAGTGTACAGTATTATAAATGGGGGTACATGAGTCAGCCTCCCTACGGGGCCCCAGCCTGACTGTGCTTGAGGGAAAGGCCAGCCTCACTGACCTCATCTCCCACCCAAGCTCTGTGGGAGGCCTCAACAGTAACAGTTATAACAGCCAGGTGTGAAAACTGACTCCTCACCCCAGAAACAGCCCAGCATTCAATCTCACTTCCTACACAGAAGGAAGCTGCCTGAGTCATCGACTCCTGGGCCCAGGGCAGGAAAGTCCTGCTTTCACTAGTCGATGTCAAAGATGTCAAACAGAGGTGCTTTTTCCTCAGGATTCAAATTACCCTGCCAGAAATCTAGTGGTGCCCTGCTATGAAAACAATGGGAGGGGGGCCATCCTTGAAAGGACAAATGTTTTCTGCTCCAACCACTCACATTTTCTCTAGATAGAGCAGCTCTTTAGAGCCCTGAATCAAAACAGCCCAGGAGTGTGAATGTCACTGCCACAGGGCCCCGTTACCACAGCAACTGTTTTTCCTCTTGGAATTCTTTCAAGAGTACAAGCTGTTGCTTCCCTCCAAAACAAAACCAGGGAGAAGCCAGGGCCTCAGGATTAAGGGGAAGCTCTGAAGGAAGGAGGAGGGCCAGGCATGACTGGGCCATATCAAGCTCACCATGGGATCCCCCAGATCTCTGAACACCTGGCTTAAAAACACCAAGTCCCTCTCAGCTGCTTAGGGTATACGTGTAGGGGAAGGCAAAGTGGGGGTATGGAGGTATGAAGGTAGTGCTTATGTGTGTTTTGGGGTATGTATGAGATATGTATTGGTGTAAGGGGATTGGGGTTTGTAGGTGTGCGTTGGGGGCATGTGGACGGGTGTTGTTGGGGGTTGGAGATGTACGGGAACAGGTGAGTGTGGGGATAGGAGGTCCTATTGTCAGGGGAAGTGTGTGGGGCAGGGCCTGGGCTGTGTAGTGGTGCCGTGACATTAAGGGAGTGTGAGGAGGTGCGATGCATTGTAGGCAGGGGGCGGGGTGTGGAGAGTACACTGCTGTGTATGCATGTGAATAGGTGCTGGACATGGGCTGGAGGTATGCAGGGAGGTATATGGGATGGGTTAGAGAAAATCTTCCTCAGTATCCCAAGATGAAACATGAGACATCGTCTCCAGAAACAAAAACACGAATTGCATTTCATTTCTGTATTACAGTTCTTAGTACTACAGAATCACATGCTTGTCCCAATGTCTGTAGGGTCAATGAAAGAGTCAAAAACCATTTAAAACATACAGCCCAAGTTTGAAATAACTGACTCTGAAGCAACTATCTGAGGTAACGTACACTTCTAGTCAGAACATCCTTGGGTCAATCCCAGTAAGTCCAGAGTATGGACAGTGTGGCTGGCAGGTCAGGAGGGCAGCACTGGAGGGCCTGGCTCAGCAAGTCCTTGCCTTCCCTGGGAGTCTGTGTTAAGTCTTTTCTCTAGGGCACAAAGCCTAAGGGGCTCAGAGTCACAGGACGCAGCATATCCAGCACAGTGCCATGGGGCACCTAGGAAACGTCTGAATATCTTGTTAAAACAAGCTTAAGAGTTGTCTCTGGCCACAAGGAGCTGCCTGTCTACTGAAGAGGTGGCCTGAACTGGGCCTTAGAAGCATGAAAATATATATATATTTTAACAGCTGCTACTATTATATCTACAACTACAATTATTATCAAGATGTTATGGAAGGTTAACGGCATTATCATGAACAATGCATGCCAATTAAGTCACAGCAGGGTCTTCTAAAACACAAATGTCAAATATCAAATAATACCAAGTCACTGATATCCACATGGGGAGAAAAAGAATCTTGACCCCTACTCACACCATACAAAAGGAAATTACAGATTGGTTAGAGGTCTACAGGGTAAAGTAAAACAAGATTGTTCTGTGAATCCAGCAAGAAGAAAAAATGAAGTAAAACAAAAAAACTTCTAGATTATAACGTAAAAGAATATCATCTAGACCTAGATGTAGGCAACTATGTCCTTAAACAGGCCACAAAAAGTATTAGGAAAAAAAGTGATAAATTAAACCACATTAAAATTAAGAACTTCTGTTCACCAAATAATTCAATTTTGGGCCAGGTATGGTCTCACACTTGTAATTCTAGCACTTTGGGAGGCCGAGGTGGGTGGATCACCTGAGGTCAGAAGTTCAAGACCAGCCTGGCCAACATGGTGAAACCCCATCTCTACTAAAAATACAAAAATTAGCCAGCCATGGTAGCGGGCAACTGTAATCCCAGCTACTCGGGAGGCTGAGGCAAAAGAATCGCTTGAACATGGGAAGTGGAGGTTGCAGTGAGCTAAGATTGTGCCACCGCACTCCAGACTGGGCGACAAGAGCAAAACTCCATCTCAAAAAAAATAATAATAATTAAATTGTAAAAGCCTGAAATGTCAAAGCCAAGTCAGGGAGAATAAACAGTCACAACACATACACAGAACAAAGGACACATAAGGAATTCCTAGAAATCAACAGGAAAAACAGGGAACTAAATAAAAAGAAGAAGAGGCAAAAGACAGGAACAGACACTTCGCATAAAAATGAAAAGATACGCAACATCATTAGGTAGGAAATTCAAATTTAAACCACAAAAAGATACCATTATACCTTCAGCAGCACAGCTAACATGAAAAAAGACTAACCACACCAAGTATTAGAGAGGAACGAACCTCCATACAGTGCTGGTTAGAGTACAAAATGGTAGAGCCATTTTGTGAAAGTGTTTGACAGTATCTGTCCTATATATAGCCTATGGCCTAGCAATTCCACTCTTAGGCCTAGAGCCAACAGATGTGTAGATATGTTCACCAAGACATGTACAAGACTGGGAGTAGCAGCACAATCCACAATCATTCCAGCCTGAAAATCCAGAGAATGGATAAAATATGGTCTATTCAAACAATGGAATACTATACAGAAATAAGAATGCACTCATTCCACACCTAACAACTAACATGATGAATGAAAAAGGCTAGATACAGAAAATTACGGACTGTTTCATTATATTTATGTAAGGTTCAAAAGGAAGGAAGGCAACTTCTTGTGTTAGAAGTCCAGAGTGGTTCACTTGGAGAGTGAGCACTTGGGAGGGGATTCTGGGATGTTATCACTTTTTTTGTTGTTGTTTGAAACGGAGTCTTGCTCTGTCGACCAGGCTGGAGTGCAATGGCGCAATCTCGGCTCACTGCAACCTCCACCTCCCGGGTTCAAGCAATTCTCCTGCCTCAGCCTCTCAAGTAGCTGGGACTATAGGCACCCGCCACCACGTCCGGCTGGAGTTTTTTGTTTCTGTTTTTTTTTTTAAGTAGAGACGGGATTTCACCATATTGGCCAGGCAGATCTCCAACTCCTGACCTTTCAACCCACCCAGGTCGACCTCCCAAAGTGCTGGGATTACAGGCGTGAGGCACCACATTTTTTGATCTGAGTGACTAATGACATGGGCCTGTTCATCTTATGAAAATCACTGAGCTGATCTGTGTACTTTTCTCTCTGTATAGTTGGCATGCTTAATTAAAAGAATTTTTTATGCCACTATGGAATCATTAAAAATTTAAGCCCGTTTAGAAACCAAAAATAAAATCATTAAAATCTAGAGGAAACTAACTCAGTCAAGAGGACCGTAAGGAAAAAGTCCTCCAAAGAGAAGACTAAGGACTCCCAAGCACACCCAAAAGACAGCTACTTGGACAATGAGAGGGAACACCCCATTCACACCCTGCTGGTTCCTGGAGGCAGAAGGAAAAAACAGGGATTCACCATCAAGGCCATACAAATTCTTCTGTTGCAAAAGCTAACAGAAAGATTAAAAACTAGTCTGAATTTCAAGATTCCTTTGCTTTCCAATTCCCTGCACCCTATCTGGGAAGCCGGGGGAGCACCGGCTACACCTTGTAGTACCACAGAAGTCAACCAAACGGGAGACTGTGGCGGAACAAGTATGCCACAGAGCAAGAAAGAGGAAGCTTGTCTTGTGGCTGTCTAGTGCCTCTTCTGCTACATGGAGGGTGCTCCTGCCACCACAGGTGAGCAACACTGTGAAGGATCCCGAATAGCCACCCATTTGCCTCGATGGAATCCCTGTCCTCCAAGGGAAATTCAGAGAGAGGCTCGCCCTTCGCCCAGGCCAGGTGCTTCTACCCAGCATCTCAGACCAAGCTGAACAGAGGTCCCATTCTCTTCCCCGTAGCTCACTGCAGAGCACCTCCCTGCACAGCTCCAAGGGGTAGGGGTAACACCAATTCTGCCCCAGAAGAAGAGCACCCCCAAACTCAGCCAGGAGGCAGTAGGCTCCCTGGGACCCATCTTCAGAGGACCAGGGATTGGCCCTGCGTGACTATGTAAGGTCCCTTACCTCTCCGCATTTGTGCTGTCTCAGGTGCAAGTTCAAGGGGCCCTCGCCAGGGGTAAAATAAGAGTGCAGGAGAAAGAATAAATCCACACATCACACTTCCCACCTCTCAGCTCCCTTCTGCACATACCATCTCATCTTAACCCTTATCTTGGGAGGCAGGAGTTACTGTGGCCATCTTCCAGCTGAAGGAGGATGTGAAGAGACTTATCGACACATCTCAAGGTGTGCAGGGTGGCAGAGCCAGGTGGACAAAGCAACCTGTCCAGAGCAGGAGAGAAACAGCCTGACTCAGAAACAGTGGTCATACTACAGGAGCTGCAGTGTAGCCCTCAGAGCCTATGTTCAGGGACAGAAAGGAATGGTGCCGGGGGAGTATACATTTAGAGCAACTTGAACCTATGCTCCCAGGTTGAAAAAAAAAGGGGGGCCGGGGAAGGCTGGGAGCAGTGGCTCACGCCTGTAATCCCAACACTTTGGGAGGCCAAAGCAGGGAGACCACTTGAGGCCAGGAGTTTGAGACCAGCCTGGCAACATGGTAAAACCCCATCTCTACTAAAAATGCAAAAATCAGTCGGGCATGGTGGCACGCACCTATAATCCCAGCTACTCAGGTGGCTGAGGCAGGAGAATCGCTTGAGCACTGTACCCTAGCCTGGACAACAGGGCGGGGGTGGAGGGCAGAGAGAGGAAAAAAAGGGGCTAGAATGGCAATCTGAAGACCTGGGCACTAGCAAGAAGGCTGTCAGCATCCAAACTCCAGGTGTGTTCAGAGAGCCAGGCTACAAGGGCACTGCCTCAGCCTGGCGCTACCCTCCTGAGAGGCAGGATGGGTGTCCCGGTTGGGGTCCAGTGAGGCTTTCAAACAGTGGAAAGGAGGCTCAAATCACAGGGAGACTGTGGCTAGCATGCTGTACCTCAACCCAGCTGGCCTGGACTCCACCGGCACCTTCCCCTCCCACACACCCCCCTGACACAGCTGGACCAAGCTCGCCTATGACCTTGTCTTGCCAAAACCCATCCCGTCTTCACCTGGCTTCTCTCAGCCCTGCTGCCTCCACCCAACTCCACCCAACTAAGTTTCCTTGGATTCTCCCAACTCCAGCTAAATACCTGCAGGGCAAGCCTCAGGGCAGAGACTGACCTCCCAGTCCCTCCTCTTAGTGGTCTAAGCTCTGTCACCAGAGGGCCTCGTCTAGCCCCAAGGCTTGACCTCCTGTACCTGTTTCCAGTCCAGACACCTGCTTATGTCTCTCTTCATTTCCATGTCTAACAGTCATCTCTGGCTTCAAGTGGCCAAAGCCAGATTCTTGCTTTCCCCTTCAAAGCCACTCTCCCTGTACTTCACCATCTCGGGAACCCTGTCTGTGTGGACTGCCTCACACCTGGGCTCCTGCAGCTGCCTCCTACCTCCATGCAGTCAGCCAAGGGCAGGGCAGGGCAGGGCATGTCTGCTTTGCTCAGGCCTCCAATGGTTCCTCCTCACCCTTAGACTGAGGTCTAGCCTCAGTCTATCAGAGATGTCCAGAAAAATGTATCAGAATCACCTGAGGAACTTTAAGAATGCATGAATTTCTAGGCTGTATACCAGGACCACAATAAGTCTGAGATAGGGCCACAGAAAAGGATTAAAAATTGTCTCTCAAGACAACCTGACGAACAGGTAGGTCTGAGAAACTCTGATTCATCCAACACCATCATTTCATACAAGAACATGTTGAGGCCCTCAGAAGGAAACGCTGGCTCATCATGGGTGTGTGTTGGGAACCCCAACTCTCCCACACAGGAGATTCTCCCTCTCACTGCCTCCACAACCTTGGAGTCTGAGAGCTTAGGCAGAAAAGGTTGGTCCTTAGGAAGAAAAGGCACTCACACTCCACCTTGGCTGTGGCTCTGCAAATCCATTTTCTTCTTAATCTAACATTTTGTGCTAAAACTCTACCTTCAAAACATTAGGGCTAGGATGAGTAAAGCTAGGGTGCAGAAAAAGGACCTCTTTGCTTTCACTGGAACCAGGGCCAGTTCCACCCACTGTCACCCAGTGGAGAGGACTGGAGGACCACCTGGATGCCCCACTTACAACAGGGTAAGGAAGAAAGGACAGCCATTCACGTTTATAAAAGGTCTGTGTACAAGATCTTGAGCTAGACACGTCACAGCATCTTTCTCTGTTCTCCTAGCTACTGATGAGTTCAGAAGCAGTATCTTGCTCGAGCTTCTGAGAGAGAGGCTCATCTCAAGAGAGGCTCAGATTTTTCCAGACTTGAGTTCCACAGATGTGATTAAAGGAGCAGAGTTTTAAATCAGATCTGTCTCCAAAGCCTATTCTCTCCACTCCACCACTCGGCCTCCACCTGGCAGCCTGGTTGCAGTTTACATGTGTGATGGGTGGAGGCTCCTTCCCAAGGATACTTGTTCTCAAACACCTGGGGGTGAGGGGTGTAGAGGGATAGAAGGCCAGAGCCTAAGGGACAATCTAGGGTCTGCAACAACTCAAAGCATGATCAAGAGACATTCTTTCAACCCAGGGTTTCCTGGTCTATCAGACAGGGATGAACCAATACCCTGCTTCAAAGTCCTGCTTCAGGGAAGGAACATGATTCTGACACAATTGCCACACAAATGTTACAACTGCCAACCTGCCAAAGGCTGTCAACACAGGAGACAGTGATCGATCGCCTTGGCTGACTTTGCAACCAGGCTGCTGGGCCTGGGGATGTGGCACGTGGAATGGGGATAGAGGCAACTTCCTGAGGCATGATCAGGACATGGACAAGTCTGACTTCTCACCCAGCACACTAGGCTCTCACCCAGTCCCTCTGTTCCTCCAGCAAGACTTGCCAGCCCCTCCCTCTGGTTCCCTCTTTTACCCTCCCCCAACCTGGCCAGGGACCCTCCCTAGTACCCCTAAGTCAGAAAGTACTAGTGCATGACATCTACCTTGGCATTGCTCCCAATCTCTGCACTGTGCATTTCTTTATTTGTTTTTTAATCCTCCCACCTCAGCCTCCCGAATAGCTGGGACTACAGGTTCGAGCCACCACACCCAGCTACTTTTGTTTATTTTTAATAAAGACAAGGTCTTGTTATGTTGCCCAGGCTGGTGCTGAACTCCTGAGCTCAAGCAATCTGCCCACCTTGGCCTCCCAAAGTGCTGGGATTACAAGAATAAGTCACCACCGTGCCTGGCCTGCACTGCCCCTTTCTTGAGTGTGTAAATCACAACTATACCACTCTGAATCACCAGCACTTAACTCCGCAGGGTACATACAACAGAAGGTCCAAAATCGGCATCTGCTAGAGATACCAGCCATGAAGATGGCCAACTTCCAAGCCCGCTGCCCAGCTTTGGGCTCCCAAGGCTGATCTGATGGTCATCTGGGTTTCCTCCTAGCCCTTAGCTCTCAACAACTGGAGCTCAGGTAGAGACATGGTTTCTTTCTTTCTTTTTTATTTTTATTTTTTGAGACGGAGTTTCACTCTCATCACCCAGGCTGGAGTGCAGTGGTGCAATCTCAGCTCACTGCAACCTCCATCTCCTGGGTTCAAGCGAATCTTCTGCCTCAGCCTCCTGAGTAGGTGGCACTGCAGGTGCCCACCACCACACCCAGCTAATTTTTTGTATTTTTAGTAGAGATGGGGTTTCGACAAGTTGGCCAGGCTGGTATCAAACTCCTGACCTCAAGTAATCTGCCCACCTCGGTCTCTCAAAGTGCTAGGATTACAGGCATGAACCACTGCGCCCTACCGAGACATGGTTTCTTGTAAGTCAGGTTGAAGGGAGCAAGTCCTCCAGAGATGCACTGTCCATTAGGTAATTAGGAGTCACATGTGGTTGTTTAAATGTAAACTGACTAAAATTAAATGTCACAGTAGCCACATTTCTTTTTTTTTGAGACAGAGTCTCACACTGTCACCCAGGTGGCGTGCAGTGACGTGATCTCAGCTCACTGCAACCTCCACCCTGACCAGGGCTGAAGCGACCCTCCCACCTCAGTCTCCCAAGTAGCTGGAAATATAGGCGTGCAACACCACTCCAGGTTAATTTTTTGTATTTTTTGTGGAGATGGGGACTTGTCATGTTGCCCAGGCTGGCCTCAAACTCCTAGACTCAAGTGATTCCCCTTGCCTCCACCTCCCAAAATGCTGGGATTATAGCAAGCTTGTCCAACCCACAGCCCAGGACCACTTCAAATGCAGCCCAACACAAATTCGTACACTTTCTTAAAACACTATGAGTTTTTTGTTTTTTGAGCTCATCAGCTAGCATTAGTGTTAGTATATATTATGTGTGGCCCAAGACAATTCTTCTTCCAATGTGGCCCAGGAAAGCCAAAAGATTGGACACTGAATAACAGGCATGAGCCACTGTGCCTGGCCAGCAGCCACATTTGAAGGGTTTGAAAAGCCACAGGCGGCCCATGGCTACAGTACTAGACAGTGCAGATTACGGAACACTTATCACTACACAAAGTTCTAATGCACAATGCTGCTTCTCTCACCTCTAGAGCCAGGTGATGACCATGAATTGCTAGTTGCCTGGAACCTGCAACCTGACAGTCAGACCTCAGCCCCAAGGGCTGGTCAGCCAGCCAGCCAGCCAGTCTCCCTTTCTCAGAGCAGCAAGAGACAACCCAATTCAGGGCAAACGCTCAGGAAAGCTGACAGCCAAGGGGCAGATGTTTGTGCCAAGTTAATCACCTTTAGAGAGCCTCCATTTGGCTGCTGAGGAAGAAAAGGGTCAAAAGAGGACTGTGGCCTCACACTGCCCTGCTGAACAGCACTGTGAAGAGATGCCACAGAACTTCATCTACACAGCCTTGAACTGTTCACCTACTCACCCAGCCTGGAACTTCTGGATGAGCATCAGGAAATGAGGTTCAAATACAATACAGCAAAGTGTGCCCAGGCTGGCTACCATCCCTGCTGGAAATCCTGGCTCTTGCAAAACTTGGCTACCAGAGTACTCCAGTTCAGCACTTTCAGACTGTACCTCTGCCCCAGTCACTGCCAAGTGCTTGCTGTCAAACTCCCTGGAGCACCTCCACTCTCACCTCTATACACCTGAATGTTCTCACCTCTGAAATGCTCCCCAGGAACACTCTCCTTACCAGCTATCTCAATGCCCTTCTCTCACTTCTCCATCCTCCATGGCTCAGCTCAAGTTCCATGCTGTCTTCCCAAGAAGCTTCCCCAGAATCTGCCTGGCTTTCCCAGAAAATGAATCCCAGCAAAACTGTCCTTCCACCTGTCAACTGAAG